AAGTAATAAACTCTCGGACCCTCGAACTCCTAGATCCCTCAGAAGATCCTGCACTAGCAGATGCCCTAGCTTATTGCTGGGTAGCTACCAACTGTGCCAACAAATGTACCGCACTCCTCAAGTCCTGATCTGATAGAAGCGAAGGGGGAGCTGGATGTGCAGTCTCCCTAGGAATCTCCTCAGGTGGCGGAGGAGCTGGTAATCACTGGGTAGGGATCTCTCCCTGCGACTCCGATTGGGCCCCATCTACTGGGGGTACCCTGCTAGTCCCCTCACCTACTGTTGTTTCTCTCCTCTGGCTAGCCGTAGTCTTCCTAGTTACCTTCATCTATGCATGCAAACATCAACATGTAAGTTTAACTCAAATTTCCTATAACTCAGTGCTACTACAGTACGATTTAGATTTGAAAGAAGGGTAACCAATTCCTAAATGCCCTGTAGTCCCCTACTTATATAATGTGGTACACCACACATCTATAAACAAGACCCTACTAGACACGGCTTGTAGATTTTCTAGGATAGAACTGCTCTGATACCAATTTTTTCACGCCCCGAGTCCGGGGGCGAGACCGGCACCTAGTGCCTCATCTATCCTTGCATACCACTTGCGACTAAGAGACTCTGAACATGTAATATCATACTTTGGCTACGGGCCATATTACGAGATAATGTGCGATACTAAATATAAAACTAAATGGAGACTAACGGACTAGTGTCAACATAAAGCTGGGCTGGCAAGGCCGTTATAATTACTACAATTGACAAGCCAATAAAATATACGTACAGGGCCTACAAGCCCAACATACTGCACTAACCGACAGGATATATCTACAAGCCTCTACTGATAGATGTACTATGATGGGAATAGGGCCCCGACCTACCCATAACCTATCTACATATATACACAAGATATATACCACACTGCTAGACTCGGCAACTCCGAAAGAAGGGGAGTTTACCGATAAAGCTGAACTCGGACAAAACCTACTAAGGAGGTCTACCCACATGTCTGTGTGAACCTGCACACATGAAATACAATGCCCCCAGAAAGGGATGTCAGTACGAAATAATGTACCGAGTATGTAAGGCAGTATACTGAAGCTGAAACTGAAATGATAATATAATAACTGAAAACAACTAGGAGTCAAAGAAAATCTGAAGATATGCTTATTTGCTGATACTGACTCAACTCTCTCAATATAGTGAGTAAAATAGTTGTCCGGCCCTATAAGGCTCGGTATATATATATATATACATATATATATATATATATATATATAACTGCTCTACCGTAGTAGGCCCTGTATCTCGACCAACTAGGCTCGATCAAAAGCGCTCGGCCATAGTAGGCACGGTATATAACTTACCATCTGATCAGAGGTTGCCCAATAGAGGCCTGCCCATCGATTATAGCTCGATGGTATTGAAAATACTTTTAATACTATATATATGTAAACTCTTTGCTCTTTTGACCGTAAGAAGGAAATACTCAACTGAATATGCAGTTCCGATAAGAAGAATATGGTAACTTACAAAACTAGGAAAATATATATAATTTGCGAGACTAGCAAAATATACGTAAATTCCGGAATATGAATTTTCCTTTATGCCTCGTTATCAAATTTGTGTAATTACGATATCATGCTAAAATGAAGGAAAAACTAAGCCTTAACATACCTGGAGTAGGTAAAAATTCGTATGATACTCTTGGAACAGGTTACACCGTACTCCACTAGAATCGCAAAACGTAATTATGTTACTAAGACCTTAATAATTCTTGTTGGGGTTTTTTTGTCGGGATCGATTGACAAGAAAATGGTTAACTTCCAGGAAATAATGTGAGGTCTTACGTTCTGTTCTTGGTTTGGAATATTTCAAAATGAAGTTTAGTATAGTTTGTTTTGTCTTTTAAGTGAAAGACTTGATTAGTCTAAGTCTTGAAAATGAAATACATGGTGTCTTCGTGACACCTAGAAAGGAATTACTTAGTCATTCCTTATATCATGGCAGACTGCCATATGGAGTTGGGTGGATAATTAATCTTTATCCACTTATTAGTAAACTCGGTAATGTTCTGTTACCCGATAATTAATCAATTACCCTCATAATTTAAAAATTGGCCCAAATTACTTAAAATTCTACTTATTTTTAATATACTTAATATATACTTTATACATTATACTACCATGGTCATATGGTATCTTACATTATACTAGTTTATAATTAGCGAGTATTATTACTTGATCCGTATTTTATTCCAAATTTGCCATTGTCAACGAAACTCATTTTCTCTCATTCGTGCATCCTTTATCTTTCATGATACTTATTTATCGCTTGTTATAAATAGCATAAATATGCTAACCTCCAGATAATATCATCTCCGAGTTCACGTCAATTTACTGAAGACGAAACTTTAACATACGAAAAAATGCGAGATGTAACATTTGACGGGGAGTTGACTTTGGTGTTTCAGACAGCTTCACTAAACTATAGGAAATAGAGCAAAAGTATCCTTATTTTAAATTTGATCCCAAATGTACCTTTATCGTTACCGGAGTAGTTTAGATTTGCCCCTCAACTATAGAAAATAGAATAAATTTGCTCTTCCTTTGAATTTGATTCCAAATATGCTCTAATTTTTATTTTTTGGGTGAAAGAAATTTTTTATTGATCTCCACCTAACAAGAATATTTACAAATTTGTAACCATACTATAACCACAAGCTATTCTATTTAGCTTTCCTCTATGCACCCCTACTAGGTAGGTTTGATCAACCCTTTTATTTTAGGGTCAAGAATTTAACTTCTATTTCTTAAACTACGAGAGAGCAAAAAGAAGAAAAAGAATATGTAGACTTTTTCAAAATATATGCATCAAAAGCTGAGATTCACAAAAAAATATTTAATTTTACTAAAAGGACACTTCTCTATTTCAGTTTTTGTTTGTGAAGATCAAAACTATCTTGTCTAGGCATTACAACCATACACATAAATTTAGCTCAAAAGAAATAAAATTAATATTTTGTGGATTTCGTTCTTTCTAGCATGGCCGCAATCATAGTTTCTTCAATAAGATTAGAATTTTTGCTAAGTGTAATTATTTTTCACTAATTGAAGAATTTTAATTTTTATTTGTGTTGTTGAAGATTTTTTTTTTTTCATGAAAACTGATTGATTTTCTAGAATTGATGTTCTATTTAATAGTTGTTAGATTTTAGGAGAGTAAAAAAAATTTAAATAGGGAAAAGACATAAATCGGATGAGCAACTAGATATTTTGGCTCTTTTATAATTTTGGATTAGTCTAATTTTTTTTGGTTACAATTATTTATAAGGAATTTTTGGAGTTAAAATAATTGTCTTGCATGGCGGCACTCCATCTTAATAATAAATATTACTATCTAAAGGAGTAAAAATAAGAATTTGGCAGTCTGTTAGATTTGTAGAGCAAATATGAGCTAACCCACTCATAATAAGGGCATATTTGAAATTAAATTCAAATGAAGGGTAAATTTTTCTATTTCCCATATTTGAAGGAAAAATCAAAACCAATCCACTAGTGACAAGCGTATATATTCAAGAACAAATTTAAAATAAAGAATTTGCTCTATTTCTCATATTTAAGGGGAATATTTATCCCCTTTTCATAAAATAAATAATCAATACAGATATGTCTAGAAATTTGGATTTCATGTTCGTGCATAAAATACAAAAATACTCCCTCTGTCCAATTCATGGCCCTCACTTTCCTCTTTAGTATGTTTCAAGAAGAATGTCACGTTTTTATATTTAAAAATAATTAACTATAAATCTTTAAAGCTTATTTTATAATTTTGTTATTATATATTTCATAAATTCTATGCCGGATCAAGTATTGTCACATCAATTCATGAGACGGATGGAGTAACATTGTATAAAACATTAAAGCATAAAACTTAAACGATCATGAATATACGTAAACTAATTTGAGACATACATACATATCAATTTGAGAAAAGGCATGTTAAGTGATTCCTGACCTCTTCCTTATGTTAAATTTATTATCATGTCAATTTCAAAGAGAAAGTTAGTGATTGTGATCTTAGCGTAAATGTAGTCTATGTATAGTTTAAACTTCTTCTGGGTGGATTTGCAAAGTGAGTAGTGACCAGTGAGTACATTAAACCACATATTAAAATTAAACCAAAAATAACAGCGGAATCTTCTCTTAAATTCTCCCTCTGTACCAGTTTATGTAAACATATTTCCTTTTTGGTCCGTTCCAAAAAGAATGACGCATTTCCAAGCCACACAAATACTCTGCACTCATTTCTAACTTGTTTAGGACCACAAATTTCAAAAATCTTTATTTTTTTTTACTATGTACCTAGTCAAATAGGTTTACGAGACGGAAGATTACAGTTCAACTAAAGTTCGATCATGATGTCCTCTCTTTCATCACTGATACCAAAATTAAAAACAATGTGTACGTGGCTCCACTTCATTTGTATGCGTAAAGCATGTCTCCTTCCTAATATGTCATGTCAATTTCAATGAAGCTTAGTATCGTAAAATACTTTGTGATACAGTTGCGAAGTGAGAGTGACGAGTATATTAAATCATGCCCTATAATTACTAGCTATTTTATGAGGGCACAAATAAAAATTCCGAAAGCATCTTTACTTAAATATAAGTAAAATAATGTCATGACGTCCTTCCTTTCATCACCATTGCTAAACCAAAAATAGCAGTAGTAAGTACCTGGTGCAGCTTCATCTGATATTCCAATTAAATATTTCTTAAGAAGAATCTAATGTCATCACTTCACTAACGAATAATGATATAAAACTAGGTCACGGTGAACATGAAAACACCATCTCCACTATTTGTCAACTACTTTACGGTTTTAATATTAGTTCTAACTTCACCAGTAACTATCTCGATTCCTTTCACGCGTTCTAATAAATATATTAATAAATAAGATACTTCTTTCCGTTATCTATAAATTCTCTGCAAACCTCTCACCATCAACCCATCTTGCTGAAACAGTAAAAGAGAGGAAACACTAAATAGCAAAAGAAAAATGGAGAGTACTAATGCATGTTCAACATTGCCAATGGAAAATGTTAACGATGTCGGGCTTATTAATTTCATGGACGAGGCTAACTTTGAACAATTTATTGAGCTCATTAGGGGTGAAACTGCTGACCCTATAGTGAAGTTTTGCCCCAACTATGACTGTGAACACATTACAGGTTGTTTTGCTTCGACTGATGTCCAATTTGAGCCAACACCAATGGATATATTTGATTGGAATGCCACAAACATATCTAATAATCCTATTTCACTTTTTTCTTCCCTCCCCGGAGAAATGAAGCTCGGGGAAGAAGAAGAGGACGAGGACGAGGACGACAATGATTACGAGGAATCTACTGGGACAACAACTACCACCACCACGACTATGTTGCCGGCAACTCCAACAAAGAAGAGCACGAGGACTGACCGATCAAGAACTTTAATTTCCGAGCGAAAAAGAAGAGGAAGAATGAAGGAGAAGCTTTATGCCTTGCGTTCCTTAGTTCCTAATATAACAAAGGTAAGAAACTGGAACGCTGTATGCTTGAAGAATTTAACATATATACTGACAATATGAATTTTTTTTTGGTTAAACCTAGTTCTGAGTGAAGAGAATGTTTCTCTGTGCAGATGGATAAAGCCTCCATAATAGGAGATGCAATACTATATGTACAAGGATTGCAAACGCAAGCAAAGTTACTAAAGGCAGAAATAGAAGGTCTTGAGTCTTCCTTCAATGAAACGAACAATAATCCATTTCAGAATACCAAGCAAATGAAATTGATGACCCATTATCCAGCATTCAAGAGGATATCAAAGGTCTGTTTTTAAAAGAACCAAATGCTACCCAAAATATATAGCATTTAAATCAAAAGCAAAATGATAGTAATTAACATGCTAAACTAATGCAGATGGACGTTTTTCAAGTAGAAGAAAGAAGCATTTACGTGAGATTAGTATGCAACAAAGGGCGACTAGTTGCTGCTTCTCTTTTCAAAGCTCTTGAGTCTCTTTCTGGATTCAATGTTCAAAGCTCCAACTTGGCTATTTCTGCCGATGATTATATTTTGACCTTCACTCTTAATGTAAGTTTACATATAATTAATTAATTAATTAATTAATTCCCTACAGACTTCAGAATTAATATCAATTCATTTTCTCGCATATGGGCATTATTATTATTATTATTATTATTATTATTATTATTATTATTATTTTTTGTGAAAATGAAAAAACAGGTAAAAGAATGTGAGGTGGACATGAACTTGGCCAATTTGAAGCTATGGATAGCTAGTTCTTTTCTTAATCAAGGGTTTTACATCGAGACATTACCATTGGTCTAACGTTTCACTATTGTAATTTTGCAAAGTTTCTAACCTGTCAACGAATGAAAAATGTCATTACTTATCGATCATCATTTGTAACTTTTGATTATTTAAAGATACGTAGTCCAAAAGTGTTAAGCTTGTAAAATTGCAATGGCGCGGTGTACATGTGACCGACTTAATTGTTTATCCAGCGATCAAGAGTGCAGTTTTTTTTTTTGGAATCAAAAACTGTCAGGGAAGTACTTGATACTGGTCGACGATCGAGGCATACAGCCATGAAAAATATTGCAGTGAAATACTGCACATGTTATTTATTTGGGATTTTTTTTTTGAATACATTGCTGGAGGAGGGGAATGGGGGTGATGGAAGTTGATGTGTTTTCAATGTCTTTGCCTTATGTTTTGATGATCTAACAGACTTACTGTCAAGAACCAGATAGGGAACCTATCACACACTTGTACACATTACAAAAATGAACGGATTCCAGCCTGGACTCCAGCTAATGTGAACTGCTGTAAGTGTAGAAAATTGAGAAATAAGACAAGGACCTAATCCCTTGTGTTTCCCTGACAGCAGTACGAAAGTCAACTGTGGACAGTTGAAAAGTGACTGCCACAGAAACAGTGCACACATTGCAGCAGTTTTGCAGTCACTTGCCTTTGACCTACCAAGTGCTTACATCATTCAAGTGATGTCATCAAGGGTGTATTAACAAGAGCATTATAACAAAGCATCACTTGAACACTTGAGAATTCACTTCAAGCATTCAAGTCTTCTGCAAACAGTGAACTCAATTCTCAAGAGCTTGAAGAACAAAGTTAAACGCTACTACGGACCAGTTCTTAAATCTAGTATTTTATTGTCCTTAATTGAGTTGTAACTTTGTGATTGTTCTTGTTGTAATTCCTAAATTGCTTAGCTAGAGCCGTTGCTTATGAACCCCTTTGTAAAGCCATAAACTTTCTGAGTTTGTATTGTGACTAGAGTTAGTCATAAGTTAAAGTCTTTGTAACTAGTGAGTGACAAAGTGGCTTGTGGTAAGAGTATCACAAGTTAGTTGAGTTGAAGTCTTCGTAATAGAGTCATTACACAGTGGCTTTAATAGAGTGTTTACAAGTTAGTGAAGTTAAAAGTCTACAAGTGTAGGTCGTGGTTTTTGTCTCCTTGAGTGGGATTTTTCCACGTAAAAATCTCGTGTCTCATTTACTTACCGTTTCATTAGTTTTCTCAGTGGAAACTCATAGAGGACCAGGTACTCTATAGTTTGGTGGACTCATATAAACTAAATCGATCAACTAGGAGAGTGCCGCAATACCAATGAAGTATCCATCAATCAAAACACATTCCCCCTTCTGAAATGTATACTCTCATCAAGCCATACCAAATAGTAATGTTATTTACTTAGTCATCTGAAATTGTCCATGTTGCCTAAGGACTCCTGACCTCCCCTTCAAAACTTAACCGTGATCTTACACATACAAATCTCAATCCTACACAACACACCACATATACTATGCCATTATATGAAAAATATGAGAACATCGTAATCCACTCCGAGTCACAAGCAATTACTCACTCAATTATCCAAGAACTTTCCATTTGATTTCATCCAGAGAAAATCACTATATATATCACAAGCTCCTCACGCCAATAGAAAATATACATCTCAAACCGTGGTAGAAACCATCGAAAACTCTCAGAAACCCATTTTCACATAACTAAATCATCAGAACTAAATCTCTCTAACTCAGCCAAGCCACGCAGGCCACCAAAACCAAAGAGTACCGACACAAAACACCTGTAGAAACTCACTGTTGATACCTATTTTTTCCCTGTATATTTTTAATATGCAAAATACTCTCAAAATAGCATGTATGTGTATATATAAGTATGTCCCAAGGTTTTATTATTTTTCTCTTAATTTTTAAAGATTTTTAAATTAATGTATTGCCTTATTTTATCAAGGAAAACCCAGTAATTATCCCCAAAATTATAATTTTGGGTGATTCACTTATTGGATTCTCATATTTATATTAAAATATAGCTAGAATAATTTTTGTATATGTTTTATAAATTTATTTGGTATTTTTAAAACTAAATTGCATATAATTGCAATATTGACCTCTTTTAAGATTTAATTGTATTTATAGTTATAAAATTAACTCCAATATTTTTAATCTAATAATTATGTATTATTAATCATTTAGTACCTTTAATTTATTTCTAAAAATTATTTTACTATTTATTTATAAAATAAATGAGGGAAAAATGGCTGTTTAAATGATAGCCTATTTGCATTTTAATTTTAGCCGGATTTGAACCACTAATTAGACCCAATTCTAGAATCCAATTACCCAGCCCAAATCCTAATCTACCCGACCCACGACCCTTTAAAATAAGCCGCCCGGATTCCCATTCAATCTAGGTCGTTGATCAAAATGATCAATGACCACCGTTAACTCTTTCCTTTTTAATTCTCAATTACCCCCTAACCCTAATCATTTCCCATCTGTAGCCGCCCTTGAATTCCCCCTTCTCCCAATTCTCTCTCAAGCTCCTCTCGAACCCTAGCCGCCTCCCTCCGTTTCTACCCTAAAATCGCCTGAATCCATGGCTTCCAAAGCCATTAAAGGCCTGTACCAGCCTCCTATGACTCCTACACGCCTGATTACTATGGTTTCAAGGTCAGACCTTGAAGAAGCTTGGCTCAGACTTTGTTTCATTCGAGTTCTATGGCTGTCTCCAACCTCGCTCCGGCCAGCCATGGCTATTCAAGCCTGATCTTGACTTCTCCTACTTAGATCAATGACTTTCCAAGCCTTTCTCACCATCTGGGTTCTTCCGAAACCCTAACCTTCGAGGTTCCTCTGATTCTTTTAGATCCATTGTAGATCTGTGTTTTCTCTGAGCTTTTAAATGTTTTCTCAAAGTTTCTTTCAAACCTTTACCTTCAAAACCTTTACCTTTTTCGATTTAGGGTTCTGTTAAGTCATTTCAAAACTTTTCAGATTTTTAACATGTTCTACTGTGTTTCTTATGTTGACCTTCTACTATGTTTCTTATGTTGATTCTTCCACCGTGTTTCTTATGTTGTTCTTCTACTGTGTTTCTTATGTTGATTCTTCTACTGTGTTTTTTATGTTGTTCTTCTACTGTGTTTCTTTATGTTAAAAGTCTTAGTTCTTTATTAAGGTTTCTGATTTTATTTTCTTTGTTGATATTCTTTTTGCCTGATTCTCTTGTCTTTCATCTCTATACTCGATTGATGGTGAAAACCCTAAAATTTGGGGTTTCATTCGAGTTTTGAGACTGTTTGCTATGTGATTTGCTTGTTCCTCATCTCTGAACTTGTTTGGTTTTAAAACCCTAATCTCTTTGGACCTATTTGAGTTTCTGAAGTTGTTTCATCTACTGCTCGACTGAGTTTCGAAATCTTTGATTCAACTTCTGTTGCTTCATGTGATTTTGATCTCCTGTTATCATTGAAACTTGACTGTATTTTCAGAAAGGTCTTTCTACTAGACCCTTTTGCATATTCCTGATACTCTCCCTTTTCTCTATTAACCTATGTGACTGTCATGTGATTATTCTCTTTGTCATGAGTTCAGCGTCGCATGCCTAATGTTATGTACTCTTTTATATGCTAAATTTCCCTCTCAAAATAACCCTTAATTGTGGACTCATTTCAAACCTCTTTGTGTAATTCTGATTGCACTCTTGTAATTGATTCTTTCCTTGTTATACTGTTTTCCCTGTTTCTTGGACCTATTTGAATACTTTCCTTTAAACTTTCGACCCCTATCTTTTCTACTCAATTTGATTAATCCACTTACCTTGATTACATTGGTATTGGATTCTTACAGACCTTTCCTTGATTAGAGTCTGATGAACCTAGCCTCTATTACCTACTGTGTACTTGTACTATGCTGGAAATACTTCCTTATTGGTCATATTCAGCCCTATGTGATTTCTTTCCTTATTTAGCACTTGCATGTTACCGTTTGACTTTAACTCCTTAATTAAAGGAAGTCTTATACTGATTGATTTTAATTGGCACACGGTTCCATAATTATTTTCTTGCCTTGTTTTCTGCCTATTTTCAAACTATAAATACCTGGCTTTCTCATTAACACAGACACACACAGACACTCTTAGTTTTATGAACTCACACTCACCTTCAAAAAACATTCTCTCTTGTTACTTGTATTGTGGCCTGATTTCAAGTCCTGCTACTTGCTTTTATTGTACTTTGCCTCTTTGAAACTGGTATGTTCTGATTAAGATTTTCAGCAATCACAACAATGTGTTTACTTAATACTTTTACCTTCTTGTCTGTCTACTTCTTATGTATGGTTCAATACTTACTTTAGCATGCTGTAATTTCCTTCTGCCTGTCCTGTTATGAACCTCAAACCCCTGCCCAATATGTTTGATACTATAGTTTGCCTGAGGCATGACAGTACTGAATATTACTATCCATGACTCAAGCTTGATTCACCTGGGATCCTAACCCCTATGATTCTTTGCTGTTGTATGTTCTAGTAGGCTTATAGGCATGCCAGTATCTCCATTGCTGTGTATGCCCAAAGCTTATCCTTGCCAAGCACGGGCTCTCTGCAATCAGTTCCCAATCCCCGACCCCTTTTTGTGCAATGTTATCAATTCTGTAGCTATTTCCCAGTACCCTTTTCCCTTTTCTTTACTTTCCTAGTTCTTAAAATTTTGTTTCTGCACTTGCACTCTCTCTTAGATTTTAAGTTCTGCCCCCCTCTTGTGAATCTTGCCTTGGGACCCCTTGAGCTCCCTTTGAACTTGGACACTTGAGGGCTGGCCCTTCCACACTGCACTTATCCTAATTCTGATAATATAATTTGGGTGTGAGCACTGCCCGGAGTCCCATTGAGGCTCTTGGGGAACTCTGACACACTCAAGTTGAGAAAGGCTTTGGATCAATAGTCTTTGAGTTGGCTTATCTCATAACTCAGTGAGTAAGTCAGAATCAGGATACCTCTAGTTGTACTCTTATTTGTATTTTCTGATATAATTTGCTATTCCAGTTTTTAATAAGTTGTAATAAATACTTGGGGCTGGCTAGTGAAAAGGGGTGGGTAACTATGCATGCAAAGGGTAGAAATCATGCCTATAGAGTTATTCTAAATTCTTCATATTCAATTACATATAGAAACCATGCCTATAGGTTGTTCTAATTCTGCATATTCAATTACATATAGAAACCATGCCTATAGGTTGTTCTAATTCTGTATATTCAATCACATATAGAAACCATGCCTACAGAATCATTCTGAATTCTGCATATTCAACTGTATTAGATACCATGTCTGTAGGTTTTAAACAACTTCTGCATTTAGATACCATGTCTATAGGTTTTAAACAGCTTCTGCATTTAGATACCATGTCTATAGGTTTCAAACAGTTCTGCACTTAGGTACCCCGTATATAAAGGTTTAAAATCAGTAATGCCTAGAAAGCATGCCTATAGGAGTTTCTAATAAAAAATCTGATTCGCCTTACTCAGTGTTAGATCTAAAATTAGTAATAATGGATAT